CCTGGTAGTTATAATCAGAATCTCCTTGAGGGAGAACGTGATACTTGTATATAGATCTATATTGGGTTTGACACCCCACACCTTGCTGCTAGCTACAGTGGACCTGCAGGTCTACGGGTGACAAATGTCATTTTATTTTCGCGACGCCTGAGAACGTCGTGGCAGGTTCACATAGTCATAGTATGATTATAGCGACTCACATAGGGATATAACAATCCATAAGTTTACGGGATTTTATTTTTAAAACCTAAATGAGTTTTATGTCGATTTAAAATCACTTTTTATCTCTATGAGTACAGATATTACTGTACACTTTTGGTTTTGGTAGTTACGACTACACATCATTTGAAACCACATTTATACCTTTAAGTATGGTCAATACTTGTTATTACTCGGTCCTCTAATTTAGGACTACATATATATAAAGTATTAACAAACATGAGAACATACAGAAATTTCATTTAATTCAAACGCGTCCATGTCCATTTAAGTACATAACATTTTCTATTAATAAGAAAGGTTACTTATACATTTTGGTCTTCAGTCATAAGACTACATTACACAGATTTTAAAGAAAATATCGGATTTTCTGGATACATATTCTAACGCTTTTACAAGGAAAACGATTTACTTTTCTAACGAAATCTCTTATGAACTCACCAACCTTTGTGTTGACACTTTTCAAAACTACTTGTATTCTCAGGAATTCAGTGAAAACAGGAAATCAACAACGTTTTGAGGATGGGACGATAAATCGTCAAACAGTTCATTTTGTATCATAATGTAATTGATGTGAATCATGTAAACATGTGCTTTGATGTAACGTTTTCAATTATATTTGTGTTGGTTGTATTTACTTTGAGCACTATTATACTCATTGTTGTGATACTCTACATGAAGTCATCCACCCCCGGACGTTTCCGCCATCCTTGGTTTGGGGGTGTGACAAAAACTCCCATCAAGCCTCCATTTTTATGATACTAAGGACCAAGGGACCTCAGATCTACCACTCCCACCTTCTAGAGCTGCTTAACTCACAAATGGAGGTCTAAAATCAACCAAAAGGGACAAGGTAGAAAACCCTAACTAAATCTAGAGGTTTAAGATGAAAGATCCAAGCTTTTTACCTCAAGAAGCTTTGCAAGATGACTATGATGCAGGATCTTGAAGAACCAACTCGTTCCAAGCTTGTTTAACCAACTCTTCTACTTGGAATGAATACTAAAAGAGTCACAAATGCACTTTTTAAAGCTCAAAATGGTCTCACAAGTTTCTCTGGAGTGTACGTAACGACGTTCTAAGGTGGTGGAGTCTCTTTAGGGTTAAGTCCAAGGGACTTAAGGTCGCTTAAATAGACCTCATGTCCGAAAATAAGGGTTTTGGACCCCTGCCATGTACGCCCACTGTACAGCTGGTACGCCCAACATACCTCCAGCTTCTCCGCGACCCACAATGCATAGTATGCTAAGCGTACACTTAAGTATGCCCAACGCACTTGAAGGACCAATCATGCTAAAAAGTAATTCTTGAGGGTTTCAAGGCATACCAGATTTAGGGTGTTACAAGACTGTGCGTTGATCTGATGGTAGTAAAATGAGTATGTTTTATCTATAGATGGGAAACAACTATTTGTGCTATTTTCTCCCTTTAGCAACACATTTGAACATAACCTTCATTGGAAATGAAGTTGGTTGGGATCACGAACAATGATACAAAATTACTATGTTTGGCATGCTTTTTCTATATAACAATATGTCCTCATAATGTGGCAGTGATCATGCTTTTCGTAAGTATATTTAATACACGAATTATTTATAGATTCGAAAAGGGAGAATTTCATATATATCATTGTTAAACAACAAACTATCATATTTGTCCAACTTAATTTCTTAATATCATATCCACCATTTATAAACCTTCAAAATATCATATCTGCGTAAATTTGATTTTTTTTACAATATTTTTAATAGTGTATAATCATTTTTATATCTTAGAATTAGTATAATATTTAGTTAAGCGTATAATAGGAATGTAAAACCTGTAAAGTTTTCAATATTGAACACGAACATATAAAAAGTTTCGAATCGAATCTCTTTAGAAGGAATATCTTTTATCACATGTTATCTTGTTTTGCTCTAGTCCTATATGAACTTTCATTATTGTCTTAGCTACACACTTCACATGTTTCGAATGAATTACATGGCATCATTAAATGATGTGATCATAGGATAAGAAGATCCACATATACCTTATGATTTATTTGACATTTTCTTTGTCCCGTTTTCACTAGTGTTCTTAACTATCCACATGTATCTAAAATATTTGACCATCACCAAAAAAATAAACTATAAATAAAAGGTATTTGTTTACCATAATACAAAACAAAATGTCTAATTTTTGGAGAGAGAGAGAGAGTGAGAGAGAGAGATTATTTAAGTCCAACAAGTTGGAGTTGAACTATTGATAGACTGTGCGTTGAACTATCGGTAGTAAAATAAATATGTTTTAGCTATAGATGAGATCATTTTTCTCCCTTTAACAAATTAAGTGAATATAGCCTTGGTGCGACGTGGAGTTTGTCGTGATCAAGAACAATGATACGAAATTAGTTCGATTTGACATGACTTTTTATCAAAGGTTTGTTCCCACGAAGATACATACTCATAGTGTGGTAGGGATCAAACTTTTTGTAAGTATATTTAATACATTAACTATTAACTGATTAGAAAAAGAAGCCTCAAACAACAAAGTTTGAAAACAAAAAGGAAAACTCTAGAACTATTTTGGGCACAAAGTGAAAATTGTATAAATTTAGGGTGCTTCGGCCAAAACCTAAAATAAAAAAAATAAAAAAAATAAAAAAGGAAAAACATAAAAGCGAAGAAAGCTTGGGGAACAATAAAAATTCGGACGTTTTGTTTATATATTCACCCCTCAGTAATCAGTATGCCAATTTCCGATTCTTCAGCTCAATTTAACTTTGCTTCTTCCAAATCCACGTTAAGGTCAGTTCTCGATCTCCTCTGTGTGATTATATATTCATCACACCTATTAATTATTGTTCACGATTTGCTTGCCGATTAGGAGTTTGGAGGAATGAATCGAATGGATATATTAGCCCTAAGTTCAACCACGAGTAATTTATTATGTTAATGCGATTGTTTAAGCTCCACCCTACACTTCTTCTACGACGCTTTGAATGTATTCTGGAATTTTATTCAAAACCCTAATTTTTTATATACGTTTGGTGGATTACTGGATTTGCAATTAGTTTAATGTAGGTTTAGTCTCGTTTGGTATTTGTTGGAAACTTCAGGTAAGATGTCATAAGAACATCAACCTGTATATTTGTTTTATTAGAGTTTGATTTCTTGAAAAATTGGCGTTCCTTCTTAAATTACGTTAGTTGAAGATTCATTATCACGTACATGTAGAAGAGGGGTTCATGTCTATCAGTCTATGTATGGAACTTGGTTAGGGATTTATGCCATTTGAAAGTTTTCTCAAGATTTTGTAAACCAACAAGATATTCACATAGCAATTTCAATAATTTCGTTTAATCACAGTTCATTAGACTGCTAGAAGCCTATGTAGTCAATTATAACAGAAGGCATACATATTCTAGACATTTGGAATAGTCCTCTTTTTGGCCTTTTATTATTTATGATTGAAATGGATGATAGTGAAGGTAGAGGATGAGTTGGATGATGAAATTAGTCAATAAGGTTTAAGTCCTGTTTCTTATTTATCATTAAGTGTAGTCTGGATAACAACTTAAAGGGGGAATGTCTTTTTTTACCTGATTCTGTTTATTAAGTCATTCTATCTACATTAAGTTACTAAGAAACACAGACTCTTTCTTGCTTATTATTTATATGTAGATTTGTGTTGCTCTTTGTTATGCTTTTGCATTCTTTCTATTTCTTAAATTTCTGAGACAACTTTCAAATTTGACACATTCTATTTTACATTGTACCAATGAACTATTCTTTTTATAGGGCTAAATGCAAGAAATAGCAGCTTATTTCCATTTATTTGTTTATTACAGCATCCTACTTTCATTTAAAAGTACAATGTTGTAATAAAAATAAATGAAAGTAAGATGCTATAATAAACAAATAAATTGACTTCGTTGTTCTTTCTTGCATTTAACCATTTTCTATATGAGAGTGATTGAGTAAATTAAAATTCAGGTCCCTGTACTATAGTGCTTTTCACAAAATTTGCCCTGAACTTTTCTTTCTAATTTTATCATTCCTGTGTTTTCATTTTGTTTTGGATATGATCCTCAACGCATAAGTCATGAAGCATGACCATTTCTCCCCCTTAGATACTACAATAAACAAAATAAGTTACAATTTTGGTCCCTTTGCCATAGTGGTTTTTACAGATTTGGTCCCCGACAGATTTATCTCACTTTTAAGCTCTCCTTGGTTTCATTTTGTTTTGAATATGGTCCCTAACACATAATAAAATGACTGTTTTGCCCCTTAGATGCTACAACAACCAAAATAAGTTACAACTTTGGTCCCTGTTCATATTGGTTCTTACAGATTTAGTCCCCAAATGATTTATCTCACATTCAAGCTCCCTTTGGTTTCATTTTGTTTTAAACATTGTCCTCAACACATAATAAAATGACTGTTTTGCCCCTTAGATGCTACAACAACCAAAATAAGTTACAACTTTGGTCACCGTTCATATTGGTTCTTATAGATTTGGTCCCTGAAAGATTTATCTCAGTTTTTAAGCTCTCATGGTCCCTAACACATACCCATGTACTAAAATGACTATTTTACCCTTAACAGATGTCTCGAAGGTACGACAGCCGAACAACCATCTTCTCCCCGGAAGGCCGCCTCTACCAAGTGGAATACGCGATGGAAGCCATCGGAAACGCAGGCTCCGCCATCGGAATCCTGTCAAAAGACGGTGTCGTCCTCGTGGGAGAAAAAAAAGTAACCTCAAAACTCCTCCAAACCTCCACCTCCACCGAGAAAATGTACAAAATCGACGACCACGTCGCCTGTGCAGTCGCCGGAATCATGTCGGACGCCAACATCCTCATCAACACCGCCCGTGTTGCCGCCCAACGTTACACCTTCTCCTACCAAACCCCAATGCCAGTCGAACAGCTCGTCCAATCACTATGCGACACCAAACAAGGCTACACCCAATTTGGCGGACTCCGCCCTTTCGGGGTGTCGTTTCTGTTCGCGGGGTGGGATAAGAACTACGGGTTTCAGCTTTACATGAGTGACCCTAGCGGGAACTATGGCGGTTGGAAGGCGGCGGCGGTTGGGGCGAACAATCAGGCGGCTCAGTCCATGTTGAAGCAGGATTATAAGGAGGAGATTAGTCGGGAGGAGGCGGTGCAGCTGGCGCTTAAGGTGTTGAGTAAGACGATGGATAGTACGAGTTTGACGGCTGAGAAGTTGGAGTTGGCGGAGGTGTTTTTGGATGATGGTGGGAAGGTGAAGTATCAGGTTTGTTCGCCGGAAAATCTTGGGAAGATGTTGGTTAAGTATGGTGTCACTCAAGCTCCGGTGGATACTTAAAATTTGAGACACGTGGCATTGGGATTCTGTTCTTTGGTTGTAGACTTGTTTTGGATAATTATTTTTAATTAAGTTGGATGTTTGGTTATAAAGCTTATGGTAAGATGTTGAAACGAAAAAACTTTATGATTTGATGTTTTTATCGGTTTAATTATTTTGTTGGTTATGTTAATTTTTCTCTTGTAGATGTAATCTAGAAAAATGGGCTTTTTAAGTGTAGTAAAAAGGCGAAATGATTTTAATTGGTATAAAAACAACCACGTCGGCTTGTTAGGGGTCATGAAAAGGTATATGATTTAATTGCTATGAAAACAATTGGTTGCGTAAATGAACAAAAATTGTGTAACGACCATACAAATCACCTCTATGATGAAAAATCTAGCATTAGACTCCAATGTGTGTGTGTGTTTTTTTTTTTTTTTTTTTTTTTTTTTTTGACATTTGTGACTCTGCCGAAGGTATATTGCCACCCAATGTCTTTCACAAAAAGGAAAAATGTATATTGCTATTGATTATATTTACGTTGACACGGGCCTAATATTAGTAATAGCAACCTATTTGTGATTTTATTTATTTTTGTTTTTTTTTTTCTATCAATCGGGAGGTTGGGGGTGTGCAGTTCTATGTATTCAGGTAGTCTTGACTCTTGATCTTTACAATGAAGTGTTACATAATTTGAATTTCATATAAATTTACAATGAAGTGTTACATAATTTGAATTTCATATAAATTTAGCGTAAAATATGGGCTAAAGCCTAAATGCAAGAAATTGCAATGTACTTTTATTTAAATTAAAATTTAAAAGTATAAGACTTCACAAAAAATGATTTAAAATTTTTTTCACTACCCAAGTATATTTATATATTTAGGCAACTTACAATGTGTTTACTATAACACATATTAAAAGAAAAAACTTAAGAAATCTTCATAAAGAGTCCCAATATCTTGATCTAGTTTATGAAAAAGTCTTAAAATTTTTGTTAACAAAAAGGCTCGGATTACCGGATAAAAAATTCTAATCAACCCTTTTTTTCATCAATAACTATTTTTACCAGGTTACCTCTAGAAAAGTCATATTATTTTGGTTTAGTTTATGAAAAAAAATCCTAAAATTTTATTTTCCTCAACTTTTTTACTCTTTCACAAAATTTTTGGAAGTTCTTGGTTTTTTAAAAGTTGCATGGTTTTAACCATTTGTTACACTTCCAGAACCATTTTCTATGATGTAAATGGAAAAGGATATTGTCGACTTTCGTACAAACTAGGTCGAGAGCAAATCCATCATTACATCACTTGACATGGTATAAAATCACAATGTACATACCATCTAAAACACAACTTCATTTTAAACTGTTTGGTGCAAAGCTTTCCATGGAGTATGACTGGATGGCTTGGAATACCCATTTATACATGTAGCTAAAATTGATGTAAAGTTTTCCATAGAGGATGACTTGATAAATTGGAATACTCATTTATACATATTGCTAACATACCTTATGACTTAAGTAGGTTGTAGCTTCTCTATATAACGTAGTCATATTCAGCTATAGAGTAGAGCTCCCATTTGTATGATCCTTATTGCTTTATTGCTTAGATAGTAGATTGAATAGATTCATTACATATTAGATTTGATATTCCGTGTGTTAAATTAGGGCTCTCTCTCTCTCTCTCTCTCTCTCTCTCTCTCTCTCTCTCTCTCTCTCTCTCTCTCTCTCTCTCTCTCCTTAATAATTGGTATTAGAAACATGCCTTGAAGATCCAAGTGATTGGTTCAAGGAACAATATAAATTTGACGACTTTTGTGCATAATCATTTCAAAATTCGATAATTTTTCCTTGAGTCTCAAAATTTTCTTAGAATCGTGTTCTTATTGTTGATATATTGTTCATCGTATTTGTTTTGGATGAAAGTCACTATTCAATCATAATGGTTAGCCCAAAAATCAATCTAATTCTTTTGATCCAATTCTTTCTTTTGATTTAGCCTGATAGTTTGATATGCCGCTATTCTTCAAAAGCCTAATTTCAGGCCCTAAATCAAATTAAATCTGTTAGTTGGTTGTTTTTGTTTCAACGTCAAATTGGTTCATTTCTTCACATCTAGGATTTAATCCGGACTACATGATAATTTTGTAATATTGATTGTAAAATTCAATTCAATTCGTGATGATTTTTCAATTTTCTGGATTATTTTGTTAGAAGACTTGATTGGTTCATCTCATTTTTTTGTTTCTCTCCATCGAATCACTATCAAAAGTCAATCTTGATTTGCTTTTAATATCTTAGTGTTCTTTGATGTTAATCGATGAGTTTAAGCTTAAATAATTTTGGACAAAAATTGATTGATACTGGGATTTAATAGAAGATTGATTGAAAAGAATTGTTGAAGAAAAACTAATGTTAAAGAGCATTGTTTAAATAATTTGGGATCTGATTCGGTTGTTACGATCATGATGTTTTGGAGCTAAACAATTTAAATTTATTGAAATGTGAAGTAACTTTGATCTATGGAAGAACTATTTATATATGCTTAAGATTGAAGGATAAAACTTAGGCTCTTCTCTAGAATCTATATAGCCTCACCTAAACCTACTATTGTATTGATTAGTTTGTCATCGGTTAATGGTTTCTTATATGGTTTTTTATATGAACGTAATAATTGGTTTTCCTTTAACATACTTTTATATAGATTGTAATATAGTGTCCAACACATAATTTGAATATCTTATAATACTTGTAACATATATTATATGAGAAATGGATTATATGAACAATGATGAGTTCAAAATGATGTCAATACCATTGTTTTATGGCAAATAATTGGTTATAGAGGACTTTGATCCTTATTTTATGGAGTATAATGCATTTATTCCCATTCATAACTTGAACCAACAAAATTTTAGATTTTTATTGAAATAGTAAAAGAGTTGAAGTAAAAAAATAGGAATTTTTCATAATTTGGATCAAAATAATGAGATTTTTCTGGAGGTAATTAACCGGGTAAAATATACTTTACAAGTAAAAACGGTTGATTTGATTTTTTTTTTTTCCGTTAACGAAATAAAATTTGAGATTTTTTCATAAGCTAGAGCAAAATATTATGATTTTTTTGGAGACTTCCCACAAAATTTATACGAATGATTTAACTTTAATTTGGTAGATTTTTCATTGTCCATCGATATAATGCTATAATGGGAAATGATGAAAGTAAAACTTTTTAAAAGAAAGTAAAACTGATCCATTGTTTTACATCGGTCAATCTGATCAACAGATAAATATAACACTATTGATAAAGGTTATTGATAAGTCCCGAGATGGGAAGCAAATTTCTTGTCCATTGGCAGTAGAGTCACTTATCAATCCGTACACATATCTCTCCCTTTCTTGTTCATTTTTTCAACATCCTTGAAGGTATTAGACAAAATGTCTTTTGGGTTGTTGAAGATCATAGTAAAAATTGTGTGTTGGATTAAATGAAGCATTGATTTTGGCAAAAAATAATGATGGATGGTCGCACATTGGTAGCCTTATTGGAGCAAACAATTTTGTGTATGATTTCATTTGAATTGTCAAGGGCCAACATCCACCTATCAGGTTGGTTAGAAAAAATGGCCCAAGAAGTTCTTTTTCATAACTCTGTATGGGCCTACCCGAATATTAGGTTCTTGCACAATCACAACTCTATTAAGGGGACATATCACATATGGATACTTTGTGGAATCATACTCATGCATGCATGGGACAATTTTCAGGATCTATATTTAACCTTCCAATGCAATAGTCTAGCGAAGAAAGCCTTTGATGTTGTCATTGGGTGTTGTTTATGGGCCATCTGTCATCTCGTGGTTCCCTTTTAAATGAAAGCATCTATTTTGGGTATTCCATCATGTATCAATTATAAAATTTACATAGCACAAATATAAATATCAAAATCACCAGGCCGGTCCTAAAAACATAAATATATTCAAAGGCTCAACAACAAAAAAATGGTCCTTATCTTTATGATATTTTTTTATTTTTAAACAAAAATATATAATGAAAAAAATTGGGCCCGGTGTAGCTGCACACTTTGCCCTTCCTCAACAGTACCCATGAAAATCACATGTACGACGATGTTCAATAAAACCAAAATCGAGTTATGATTATGAATCGTTAGCACATTCATACTCCATTTTAATGCATGGCTTCATCTAATTGCATGAAAGAAATCAACAATTATTCAAAAATTCTAGTATATCTCTCCCTCTTCATTGTTTATTATTGAAGTTCTAGACATATCTTTATTGCATGAAATATGCAAGGACGATTAACATTTTAAACTTTTGGTTAATTTTGATATAAACCATTAATTTATTTTAAACAATGAACTTAACGAAAACATGGTTGCTTTAATCTATTTCCATCTTAATTAATGATTTTAAATAACTAGAGTAAATTATAGAAATGGTCTATGTGCTTATGCTTATATAATATTTTGAAATCAAGTTGTTTCAATTGTAACCCTCGTAGTCCCTAAATCATCTTTTTTGTCGCTGTTTTGGTCCCTGAACCTAACAGGCGTTTAAATTTGGAAGTTAAAACCAAATAAAATTACTTTTATACCCCTGATTTTATATATTAATTATCCGTTATTAATTTTATTAATATTAAATGTTTGATCCTACAAGACCCATCGCCACGTACACCTCCACATCTATATACCCCTGATTTTATATATTAATTATCCGTTATTAATTTTATTAATATTAAATGTTTGATCCTACAAGACCCATCGCCACGTACACCTCCACATCTATAACCAGTGTTGTAAAACTTGGCCTACTCGGCCGACTACTTGGTCGATTACTCGGAATCGACCCTCCACCGAGGCGAGTAATGTGAACTCGGCAAAAAAAATTGGATTAAGTCAAACTCGGTAAAAAATCGGTCAAAAGTCGGTCAACATCTCTCTAACTCGGGCCTACTCGGTATTACTCGGGTCTACTCGGTCAAACTCGGCCAACTCGGTCAAAGGGTCAAAAATGTCATAAAAAGAGAAAAACATCAAGAATTTCAAGATTAATATGTATAATACACTTAATGATTTATTATTGAACACACACATGTGATTAATACTACATATATATCTTAAATTTTCAGTAATTATTCACGAAGTGAGACAATTGTGTGTATTTTCAGTTTTGATGTATTCACATGTATCTAATTTTATTATATATTTCAATCAAATTATGATTTAACTTATGATTTTGACATATATAATTTTCCTAAAAATATTTCTACATGAATTACTGAATCTGAGTACTCCCAAGTACTCCCGAGTACTCGCTACTCCCCAATCGGCCGAGCAGGTACTGAGTAGTGAGTTCTACAACCTTGTGTATAACCACCACTTGTCATATTCTTGTAGAAACCCATTTCTGTTTTCTTTTTGGTCCAAATCCAAGAAATGTACAATGATGTATGATGTAATAATCAACTATACCTTTTAAATTTTAAAATAAATATAAAAGTAAGGGTAGTACAGGAATTTCACATGGTTTTAACGGCCTAAACTAGACTCCGTCAACCCAGATAGGTGACAAAAATATTTTAGGGACGATTAGGGTTAAAATTAAAAAACTGGCGTTGATTCAAAAAAACCATATAACCACGGGGACAATTTATGTAATTTGATTAAATAGTTATGGTTGACATGTATTTAAGGACCCATTGGTCATTCATTTGACAGACACATTGAGAGGAGCTTGTTCCTTATTGCATTTTAGTTATATACTTACTGTGTTTCTCATGGAAGGGGTGCAAAGTAGCAGGATGTATTCGAGTTGGAAAATGGGGGAAAAAAAGTGGAGGTCCTCAGAATGAGTGGTCTTTTGCACTTGAGAAAGATCATAAATTGGTGAAGATAACCATTGACCATGGTGAACTAATATACTCTCTCATGTTCACAGCTAAATGTGGAGGTGTTTTGCATAATTCCAACAAGTTTGGTGGTTGGAATGGTGGAGACACAGTTTCTGAGGTGAGTTGATCTTTTATTCTCTTTACTCCACTAATCATTAATCAATATGTTGCGATATTTTTATTAATCAACATTCTCGGTGGATTAATCAGATACACTTTGAGGGTGATGAGGAAATAACTGAGGTTGGTGGAGCCATTGGTAATCGAGGGGGTAATCAAGTAATTTCATTACTATCATTTAAAACAAACAAGAGGACATATGGACCTTTTGGTTGTGCAACTGAAAATGTTTTTTCTTTACCATGGCACAAAGGCTCATTAGTTGGGTTTTATGGGCTTGCTGGCTATTATATTGATAGCATTGGTGTGTATCTTAAAGCCTATGAGAATATCATACGGGTTGGAACATGGGGAAAAACTGAACCTGGAAGTCCACAAAATGTTTGGTCTTTCCAGCTTCAGAAAAATCATTATTTGAAGAAGATAATCATTGATCATGGTGATCTTATATACTCTCTCATGTTCACCACACAATGTGGAAGCTTAACACAAACTACTGAAACCTTTGGTGGCTGGAATGGTGGAGAGAGAATTTCTGAGGTAAACAATTCATAAGTATTTAATCTGCAAGTTTCTTTATAATGATTGATATAACATTTCTCTTAGTATCCTTAGTTATCTTTGACATGTTCAATTTGTCATTCATGGTTAGATAATATTTGAAAGGGATGAGGAAATAACTGGAATCTGCGGAACAAGTGCATTCTCAAGGGGAAGTGTTGATGGATTGTCTATAATATCATCAATATCATTCATCACAAACAAGAAAAATCATGGACCTTTTGGTAATGTAAGAGGAGCTCCTTTCCCTGTACCATTGGATGTTGGTTCTTTTGTCGGATTTTATGGGCTTGCTGGCTATTATATCGATAGCATTGGTGTGTATTTGAAAGCCTACAAGTGAGATAAGGACCAAATAACC